GTTTCAAAAAATGGTAAATTTTTGGGTGGTATCAGTATCAGTCTAAATTGAGTATTACTATCAGAAATACTTTTGATATCACCTCATCACTTGGTAAACTGCCTAAATATTTTAAAGCAAAGGTATAGCTCATGTACAGCAGAAGTGGAACATGGTAAAACCAAATTATGATTACATAAGAACACAAGTAAGAGAACTGCAGTAGGCCTACTGAGCCATGCTAGCATGCAGGTCCACATCACACCCACTCATGTACCTGTCCTAATCTATTTTAAAACTACACAAGGTTCTGCTTCAATGATGCTACTAAGAGTTTGTTCTATGTATCCACTACTCTCTTACCAAACCAATGTTTTCCTATATCTTTTCTAAATCTACATTTTTCCAACTTGAATCCATTGCCGTAAGTCAACAAATTTGTAACCTTGTACTAAATACATGAACAAGTATAATCAATTTTCCATCTGCCAATTGTTAAGATTTAAGTTTCTCATTCTTAATCACCCATCTTCCTAATTTTCTTTCATAAACATGGTGTAGACCTTTAACCCTTTGAGGGTCGACCAGGCCCTCTCCGAAAAACTCGTTCTCAGGGTAGGCAAATTTAAAAAAAAAAAAAAAATATTTTCTTATGAAAAGATAGAGAATCTTTTCCCGATCATAAGGACACCAAAAGGTTTGAAATTTGATGGAAAACTTACGGAATTATGCTCTCGCAAAGTTAGCGGTCTCGGCGATGTTTACGCATCAGCGATTTGCCCACTTTGAGCCCATTTTCGGCCAATTCCACTTGTACTAGTCGACAAAAAACATGAAATTTCGCTAGAACTCCATTTTTTCTATCGAATGGGTGCAAGAACCACCCATTTATGAAATTCAACTATCCAGTACAGTGGTCAGAATTTAGCATTTTGCCAATTTCACACAAATTTTCAAAAGATGCCAATTTCCGAATAGGGTCCAGAATAAACAAGAAAGACATTCCTGGAACTAAAATGACATTCCTCTGGTCATTAGTCACGTTCTCAAGGCCCCTCTTATATTCTTTTGCTTTCCACTTTGAATTTTTATTCTCACAAAAAATATAAGATTTACTGTTATGCAGACTACTGCATTAGTGTAAAAAAATGGTTTTATAAATATTATTGGTGCACTTGTGAAAGAATATTAGACTCACCAGTTTGACGTGTATTGCACGCTTGGCACGATTTGTTTACTTTTGAAATTTGGTAAAAATCGAACATTTCTGCTACTTTGAGCTCAATTTCAAGGTACCTTTCATTGTAAAATCAGTCAAAATCATCTCAATTTCTGTAATATGTCTTCCATTCTATAAAATGAGATCAAGAAAACTAGAATACAACAATAAATACCATACGAAAAATACAGTGCAAGTCGCTGTTTTATTCCAAAAAAATGGTCAAAGTTTTTTTTCTCATTATGCACTGTGTGCTGCAGGGATTTTTTTTAGACTGTGCACACTGACCACATAGACCCATTCTTTCATATGAAGGCCTACCAGCTTTCTCCCACTAGATTTGAGGGCGCTAGAATTTAGGCGTACTGTACGTCAAAACCTGGGTCGTAAGCCGTACTAGTACGTCCGAAACCCTCAAAGGGTTAAAATGGAGTTAAATTAGTTTCTCAAATAATTCTTTGTAGTATATTGGACTGCCAACAGCCAAACAGAATATAAGTATACCAAGTAGCATGCTTGTTAAGAGACAAAATCAGTGGGGAAAAGCTGTGCTAAAAATTTGTCATTATTATCAGAGTTAGCATGTACTTAAAAAAAAAAAGGGGGGGGGGGGGATCAGTACCTTTCAACTCCATTTTCTGGCGAAACATCTTTCTTCAAGTTTGTAGACTTTTGAGTGAAAAATGGTTGCAACCAGCTTCACTTTGCCAAACTTGCTGAAATAAACATTAACAGCATTTCAAGTAACAACTGTGACATGTAATAATTATCAGATTAGGTTTGAAAGAAAATGCAAGATACTGACTAATCAACGATACAAGAACAGTAAGGAATGTGAAAAACAATACAATTAAATTACAATTATAGCCATATAACATGAGTGATTTAGTCTAAGTATTGTTAATTTATAAGCCTAATTATTAAACAAGACAACGTGAAAAAAAATTGTCATGGATTCGTCCAGTAAAACCGCTTTAGTCGTCACAGTGGTGTAACAAAAGTGTTGAAAGAAGGTTACCGAGATGGTTTGGTCATGTAGAAAGAACTTAGCAAGAGACTAATACAGATGAATAAATCTGGGGAAGATTGGAAGGCGTATGTAGCATTTGAGGAGCAGATGGAATGAGGATCTGAAATACAGGTACATACCTGTACCAGGAAGTTATAAAATATTATACCGAGCCCAATAGATTACACTGACAAAAGTACATACGAGTAACCATATCATTCATTTGTTACCTCTCTGAAAGACCGATCACACTGAGACATAATAAAAGTGCTCTCCCACTAAGTTAAAATATGAGGCAACAATTTAAAGCTCACGAAATGCTAACAATTTTTTTTTTTTTTTTTTGCCAGGAATCCTGACAGCTACCCCAACTGTCAAAACTACCACTGAAACAGCAGTCACTGACAAGGCATTAAAATATGTAATAGTCCATGGTATGCCATAATTACAGAGAACCATCTTATGGTTGTACAGTGGAACCCCGGATTTTGTCTGGTGCGGATATTGTACAATTTGGATTTCAACCACGTAATAATAATCACTCTTGGGCACGTTAAATATCTTATTTTAGGTTAACAGACATTTTCATTAATCCATCTATGATATTTTCTCCAAAATTATATAAGAAACACAGTACATAGCATATAAACATGCACCATTTATATGCTATGGAGGTGTGCAAGCCAGGCAGAGGGAAAACGTTACGTTTTCTCTGGTCCAGCATCAGAGAAAACGTATAAATCGGCATTGGCCTAGTCACCACCCTTAATACATAACGCTCTTGTTTACAATTCTCAGCATGAATTAATTATTACTTTTCCCTTTGTTTATGTTGGCATCTAAAGGTAGCTGTTAGAAACGATTAAACTCGGCGAGCATGGTATGTCGATGGTAATAATATGGCTCTGGGCCTCGTTAAATATCGTGTAGCTAGGATGTGGAAGAGCTGGTGGAGAAATATCGTCGTAAATATCGTCGTAACAAAGCTGTTGCAAGCTGTCTGCATGGTCCAGTGACTCAAGTTGGTCCTAGTACCAGTAAAAGACAAAGAAGGGAAGTTAACCGCAGACAAGGCTTTGATACGTGAAGTCCTTATGGAGGGGGATTCCCCTTCCAAACAATAACCTCTCCTCCCTCTCCCCTCCTCACCGTCTTCCATACGCCAATAAGTCACTTCAATAAACGTAAAAGTGATTTAAACGTTCATTTATCCATTAAAATTAGTCATTTATATTTATTTCTCACTGTTTTCTGTATGTAAAACTAGTTATTGTCTATAAAATGTATTTTATGTTAATATTCGGGCCACCCTGCCTTGGTGGGAATCGGCCAGTGGGAAAATACAAAAAAAAAAAAAAAATAATTGTGTCTGGAACAGATTAATTGGATTTACATTATTTCTTATGGGAAATATTACTTCAGTTTTCGTCCATTTCAGATTTCGACCGGCCTTCTGTAAGTAAGTTTATTCCGGTATACACAAATACAGTTACATAGAATTATCATACATGTGTGTAGAGAACCTAGGATAACCCAAAAAAGTCAGACAGTGACTTATTTCCATTGGGGTCCTGGAACGGATTAAGGACAAAAACCAGGGTTCCACTGTAATTCTTACAGAAAGAGGGCTAAGGTATTAGGAGATGAGGGCTACATCCAGCAGCCAATGTGGAAGGAGAAGAGATGAGTGGTTCCTGGGACTTGGTGTGTTATTGGCTTGTAATAAAGGTACTGTAATACTGCATGTAATGAATCTGTTAATTCAATTACACACACCCATTTAAACCCACTTAATATTTTAACGTTAGGAAGTGCAAAGTCTTCACTTTGAAAACTGAGTTTGGCAGGTCAACATCCTAGTGCTGTCTGTGCCTTTCTTCAAAGGCAGTAGGCAAGTGATGAATATATTTTGTATATCCATGATCAGACTGGTAATGCCCACATCAAGTAACCAACCTCGTGCTCTTTAAGACTGATGACAGGACGTCCTCCACCGTAGGTATGTTATCCCACTCATCATCTTCCATCGCATCAATCATCTATAAAATTAAGTATACAAGGGGGTTAATAATCAAGTAAACAAAGACAATGATTAGCAAGTCTAAAATGTGATGAAATGCATCATATTACTGAGGCAATATCAAACAGCAATTTCTCAGACAGATCATGACTAATAATGATTTAATTAAGGAAATCTGACAAAGTAAAGAATTAGCTTAACTAGTACAACAAAAGTATTATAATATGCCAGCAATGCATTAAAAAAATAATTCTGAAACCTATTGTATAGCTATAATACTCACGTGGTCACGGTCATTATCATACTCGTGGGGAAGCAAGTTTATTCAGTACAGGTACAGGTATACATAAATACAGTTACATATTATCATACAAAGCAACGTGTGTGTAGATTACCTAGGATAACCCAGAAGTCAAACTTACTTATTTCCAATGGGATCTTAGTAAGTTTACTGAGGTACAGTTACACAAATTATAATACATAGTAAAGTGTAAATTACTCACCAGGATAATCCAAAAAAGTCAAAGCGACTTATTTCCATTGGGTTGATATGGGTCATATGAAGGGAATGGGCGGTGCTTTGATGCGAAAATGCTACTGCTACAAGGAACTGGAGCCACCATCCTCTTTCCTGGATCAAACCTAATTACCTCCAACCCCTCCAATATTCCTCTGAAGGAACAATGGAGGGGGTTTAGAGCTTACCCATGAATAATTTTAAAATAAAACCAGTCCATCCCTACAATTATCCTTAGTAATAATTGATCTAAGGAACTGAACCAGTACTCTGCTTCCCTAGAAACTGCATGATCCTTATGTATGTTTATTTTGACACAGGTACACATTACAGGTGGGCCCCACTTACAAACCCGTAGGGATTATATAGCGCATGTGGGAGACGGAAGGTATTCAGGCTCAATTCAGGGAACTGGAGCACAGATCCAATTCCCTAGATCAAGAGCCCCTCACCAGCATCAAGGAACCTCCCATGAGGGGGCGGGGTCCTTACAGGTTTAATGCTGACCAACGAATGTACTAATAATAATGTTAGAGGAACTAAACCCACAGGGGTTATAAACCTCCACCTAGAGAATGGGAGGTAATCAAGTTTGATCCAAGGAAAGGAAGGACAAGTATGGAAATGTCACTTTGATATTTGGTTATCCTAGATAAAATTTCATTAGTTACTATATACAGCTATGAAAAAGGTCAGTTCCTTGGATCAAGAGCCTTTCACTGCAGAGGCACCTCCCATGAAGCTAACTTTAATTATATTTAAGGAAGAACTGTACCCGGTGAGGTAGTGCGTGGGAATGGAAGGCATAAGTTTGATCCAAGAATGAAGAGCGCAGATCCAGTTCCTTGGATTAAGAGCCCCTCACCAGAAGCAAGTAACGTCCCTCGAGGGGATTAATATTTAAAATCACAGGTATATAACTATCGACAAGACGAATACTTATACCACTATAATCATGCTTGATCCAAGGAAGTAGAGCAGCAGCAGTAACTCCCTGGATCAAGAGCACCTGACAGAAGTCAAAGAACATTCTTTAATTTAATAAAATGTAAACAAACGACAGCTGGAGCAGCTGCCATTCCTTACGCTAATATCTTAAAGAAACACATTAAAACCCCTTCAGACGCCAGACATAATGATCAGCATATTACCTTCACTCACTGCAGAAACAAATACCTTTTTTCTTACCATAAAAAGGGTAAAAATGAATTAAAACAGAAGAGGAGTGAATCACTAATTTTAAACCCGGGAAGTCACCAGCATGCTGCTTGCTGATTGGTCGAGCCCACGCAGGAGCAACTCAAGTGACTTGCTGATTGGTCGAGCCCACGCAGGAGCACTTAAGTGACTTGCTGATTGGTCGAGCCTGCGCTTGTGCATTCGTCATACCTTCAAGCCTGCACTTATTTAATATTCTCATATACTTCTCTCCTCACAGCTTTGTAACTTCCCTCAAAGAAACACACAAATTGAGTATAATTATATGCAGAAATTAATGATAAAAGGTAGTTACTGTTCGAACGAAAATAATTTATGACGCAGATATGAAAGCTGCAGGACGAAAACAGCACATTAAATAAATAAATGAATGTAATTAACTAAATTAAATAAAGTAAATAAGTAAGTAAATAAGTAAAGCAAATTTATTTAGGCACAATTTTACTTATTAAGAATATAAGACTTGTCTTTGTGATGCCACTGAACTGCCTTCCTTACCATATTATTATTAGAAAATAAGTATCTTTATTTCTGCATATAAATACTTATATTATTATTATTATTATTATTATTATCAAAAAGAAGCGCTAAGCACTTATTATCATAAAGCGCTAAACCTGCAAGGGTCATATATATTTATTTTAGTATACCTGGAGAAGGTTTCGGGGGTCAACGGCCCCGTGACCCGGTCTGTGATCAGGCCTCGTGGTGGATCAAGGTCTAATAGGATAAGATTTCGTTCGGATTTTTAACCCCGGGGGGTTAGCCACCCACGATAACCCAAAAAAGTCAGTGCGTCATCGAGGACTGTCTAACTTATTTCCATTGTGGTCCTCAATCTTGTCCCCCAGGATGCCACCCACACCAGTCGACTAACACCCAGGTACCTATTTGCTGCTAGGTGAACAGGACAACAAGTGTAAGGAAATGTGTCGAAATGTTTCCACCAGCCGGGAATCGAACCCGGGCCCTCCGTGTGTGGACCGAGAGCTTTAGCCACTAGGCCACGGGGCCACACCAGGCTATTACTGCTGGCCACACACAACCTGACGTACATACCACAGCCCGGTTGGTCAGGTACTGACTTTAGGTGCCTGTCCAGTGCCTTCTTGAAGACAGTCAGGGGTCCATTGGTAATCCCCTTTATGTATGCTGGAAGACAGTTGAACAGTCTTGGACCCCGGACACTTATTGTGTTGTCTCTCAGTGTACTCGTGGTGCCCCTGTTTTTCATCGGGGAAGTGTTGCATCTCCTGCCGAGGCTTTTGCTTTTGTATGGAGTGATCTTCGCGTGCAAATTTGGTACTGATCCCACTAGGATTTTCCAGATGTATATTATCATGTATATTTCTCGCCTGTGTTCCAAGGAGTACAGGTCAAGGGACATCAACCGTTTCCAGTACTTTAGGTGCCTTATCATACTTATGTGTGCAGTGAAGGTTCTCTGAACATTCTCCAGCTCAGCAATTTCAGCTGCCTTGAAAGGGGCTGTTAGCGTACAGCAATATTCCAACATATACACAGTAAGAAAAATACAAGCAGTTTCTAAGGAGTAATCAAAGTTTATTAACAATAAAACTACTTCCTACAAAATGAATGAACTATATTTAACTGAAATACTTGCATATTTCTTAAAGCCTCTATCACTGCTACTAATCTACATATTAACCAGTTATATGAGAAATAAAGTGCTGTGTTAACTACATATTAACCAATTATATGAGAAGTAAATTTTCTTCTTCTTATACTTTTATTAATATTACAGGAAAGGGTTACTACCCATTTTTCCCGGCATTTTAGTTGAAATTTCACAACACGCATGACTTACGGGGGAAAGACTCTTATTGCACTTCCCCATGGAAAAAAAGGAAACATAATAAGAACAAGACCTATTAAGATAAAATCAAAGAAAACCCAAAAGGTGATAAAAAAAACGTGTCAATTTTTTGCTTTGTGTGACCTAATGTAAAATAGAAGGGAAAATGACGTAAAACCCGAAATCTTTCAGTTTAAGAGACAACAAAAAACAAACCCGCAATCCTACCATCATGTAAAACAATTTCAGGGTTTCGTTTTTCACTCACTTGGCAGGAGGGTAGTACCTCCCTGGGTGGTTGCTGTCTACCAACCTACTACTATTTTCTTTTTGGGGATTTTCTTTCTTTTTGGGTCACCCTACCTCGGTGGAGACGGCAAACTTGTTAAAAAAAACATGAGGAGTAAAGTACTGTATTAAAAAAGTAAGTTTACTTAGGCATAGGTACACATAAGTACAATTTTATCCTACATAGTGTTAAAGTACCTATGATAACACAAAAAAAAAGTCAAAATTACTTATTTCCTTTTAAGTCCTTGAAAGTGTTGATTCATCAGCAAGTTTTCACACCCAGTTTACTATCTTTGGTAAACTAGGTGAGAAAACATGATACTGAGGGGATATTTAAACAGACACAACCACCCAAGCTTAATTTATTTACATCTCCAAAAATGTTTCTAATGATTTGGTAAATAATAAAAGTGACCAGACAAAACAATGTGCATTGTTATAAATTGTGCTCATCTGAGCAATGAAAATTTTCCTACAGAACTGCACTTTTATATCTATTAAAATAATATATTCACAAAATGTGTTAAAACCCGTATAGTCACATAATGCTACTATTTCTATAGTAGACTATCACATCAGAGAACATGTATAGTACAGCAGCTCCCACTACATTATTTAGTGGAAATTTCTATACAGCATCTTATTACATTATGATGGAAAACAGCATCAATTATTATAAATATTTGAATGCCCTTCATTAAGAGGTACCATTATTTCTAGATAGCTGCCGGGGTACTTGATTAATAATGTATCACCTGACACCGCTGCTAGACAACTGTCAAACTTAGCAACCATTAGTCTTCATCAGGAACTGAGGTGGTGATGCGCAGTCCATGCATCTGTTTTATTTCACTTTTTAGAGCCTCGGTAATTAGTTTGTGCTGTTTGACCCTAGAGAGTCCTTAAAATTGGGGCCTCAACCCACACTTCATACATGGAGCCACAACCACCAGATATGTCCTGGACTTCCACAGTTGATGCCTGGGGGAAACGTCGACGAAGTAGGTCAGTCAATCTTATCTCCGACACACTGGAAGCAGCATCACTCAACCCCCGGACACTTATCTGTAAAGAACCCCAAAGGAAATAAGTCAATGACCCCAACAGAAATAAGCCATGAACTCCAATGGAATAAGTCAATGACCCCAATGGAAATGAGTCAAGGACCTCAATGGAAATAAATAAGGACCCCAATGTAAATAAGTCAAGGACCCCAATGGAAATAAGTCAAAGACCCCAATGTAAATAAGTCAAGGATCCCATTGGAAATAAGGACCCCAATGGAAATAAGTAAAGACCCCAATGGAAAAATAAGGTCTCCCAATGGAAATAAGTAAGGACCCCAATAGAAATAAGTAAGGACCTCCAATGGAAATAAGTAAGGACCCCAGTGGAAAAAAGTAAGGACCCTAATGAAAATAAGCAAGGACCCCAATGGAAATAAGTCACTTCGTCTGATTTTTTTGGATTATCCTGGGTAATCTATACATATGTTGCCATGTGTGATAATTTATGTAGCTGTGTTTATGTGTACCTGTACCTGAATAAACTTATTTACTTACTTACTAGTGAAATGTTGAAAAATCTTCGTAAACCGATCATTGTTGTTGTTGTTGTAGGTTTATAGAGCCTCCCAGTCCTGCACCGTCTTGAGCCAGACTTTCTCTCTGGTAGAGAAATGTCGCTCAGAATCGGACCCGCCTACCACTTTTTCCACATTCCATTTTTTACCTATCCTTCCTCTCCCAACTTACCAAACCTATGGTTAAAGAACCTTGAGCTTCGAACCTCGGGTAAGTAATAATAATAATATTTATTTCTACAAGTACTCATATGACTCAACTTATACAGACCACAGCTGACATCAGTGACATACTATATACAGAGAATTTCTGGCAAATTAAGTTAATTTTGTCCCAGGATGCCACCCACACCAGTCGACCAACACCCAGGTACCTACTTACTACTAGGTGAAGAGGGACAACAGGTGTCTTACCGGGGATCCAATCATGGACCTCAATATATCAGCTGAGTGCGATACCACTCGAGCTACGTAACTTTAATAATAATAATAATAATAATAATAATAAAATAAATAATAATAATAATAATAATAATAATAATAATAATAATATCTTTATTTACTACAAGTACATGTACAAGGTATACAGACCATAGTTGACATCAATGACATACTACTATATGAAGGAGACCACACAGACTTGAATAACTATAGGCCAATATCCAACTTACACCCTCTCTAAAATCTTTGAAAAATTAATCCATAAGCGTATCTATTCCTACCTCATCTCCCACAACATACTCAACCCCTGTCAATTTAGGTTCAGGCTTAATAAAAATACTAATGATGCTATTATCCACATGCTAGAACATATTTATACAGCAATAGAAAAAAAGAAGTCCCACTGGGGATCTTCATTGACTTATGCTGTATAGCCCTTGTGGCTTAGCGCTTCTTTTTGATTATAATAATAATAATAATCTTGCTACGTACTTCGACAGTTTACCACGACTTCTCACATAAATTGTCCACTTATGGTATAAGAGGGCACTCCCTCAACTACCTAAAGTCATACCTCAGCAACAGAAGCCAGTATGTGTACACAAATGGGGCAAACTCTTCCGCACAGCCAATTACAGTTGGTGTCCCACAGGGAAGTGTCCTAGGCCCTCTTCTCTTTCTCATATACATAAATGACCTACCAAATGCATCGCAACCACTCAAACCCACACTATTTGCAGATGACACTACATACGTCTACTCTCACCCGAGCCCAGTCATGCTAGCCAATATTGTAAACACCGAATTACATAAAATATCAACCTGGATGAGGACCAATAAACTTACTCTAAACATTGACAAAACCTACTACATTCAGTTTGGTAACAGAGCTGTAGATGTGTCTCTTAACATAATGATAAATGGATCACCTATCACAAAACTCACAGAGGGAAAATTCCTAGGAATCCACCTTGA